AGTCATCCCTATCTTCTGACATTGACAGTGGCTATGCTCATGATATTTATGGTTTGTAGGATATCACAAAGCCCATCAATGATGAAATATGCAAATCACTTAAAAGATGGCGAAATTCCTTCTCTGCACTTAAAATGAAGCAGGAAATTCTTTATTGTAAGTCTCACAATATCTTTGTTTTAAGTTATTGATCATGGTCTTATAAATTTCTAGAGACATCCTTTAAATGTAAGAACCTGTAAAGTTTTCAAATATTATTTTTATGTCATGTTAGTAATCCAAAGTTTTTGTTTCATGTCAATTGTTTTATGTGTCCGACGTTTCTGATTCAGCTATTGGAAAAGGATATTGGTAGATATTCTTTATGTAATGTCATATGGTGGGATTTTGTTGTGCGTAATCTTGTGATAAAGGATACTGTTTGGTGTAGTACTGCAGTTTAATAGGTTGAATTAATGTTATTTGTGATTGAGATCATGTTTGATTGGGAGTTCATTTTGAGTGACGGGTGAATTTAAAAGTTGGGGAAGAATCGTTTTGTAAAATACTATGAAATAAGCATAATGGTATTTTGGTAACTTGAGTCAAATATAATGTGAATAGAGTCTTAGGTGTATTGTTTTAGTAAAGAAGTCGTTTATCATTTATTAGGATTTTCCTAGATTATTTAGGAATATGATTTTAATAGGACAAGAAATAGTCTATGAGTCTAAACACGTACAATCTAGTTCTATTCATTTCATAATGGGATCTTGAATGTCTGGTTTACCTTTTGAAGCCATGCATGCCTAGCATGAGAACTCTGTTTCCTCCTTTTCTTTTACTCTTATTTTCCTCTTCCTCCAAAGTCACTCTTGCATTTATGCATATAAAGAATCAACAAAAATATAAATGCCTATTCCTGAAAAATACTGTTAAAATGATTTTAATAGGACAAGAAATAGTCTATGAGTCTAAACACGTGTAATCTAGTTCTATTCATTTATAATGAGATACTGAATGTTTGGTTTGCCTTTTGAAGCCATGCATGCCTAGCTCGAGAACTGTGTCTCCTCCTTTTCTTTTACTCTCATTTTCCTCTTTCTCCATAGTCACTCTTGCACTTATGCATATAAAGAATAAACAAAAATAAATGCCAATTCCTGAAAAATGCTGTTAAAATGTTTTCTTGTTCTTCCACTAGAAATTTTGCAGTAGTTTTATGAAGATCATTCTCTGTACTCTGAGTATAGCTTAAAGGTGTCTGAGACTATGTTTTCAGGTCTTTTTGATCAAATTATACATTCAACTGATAATGTTGACATTGTCGAGTTATTCAAGCATCTGCATCCGAAGGTAAAAACTACCCCACTATTTCTATAGTATACAGAGCAACAACTGAATCTAGTGCTGGGGATGGGGAATCTTATCTATGCCACCCTTGTAAAGTTATGTTTATAATAATAATTTATTTACCTTTGTTTCTCCAGGTCATGTTAGGTCTGCCAATGCTGGAAGGAACCAATCCAGCTTCACTTTTCCCGCGTAGTGCTATTGGTTTTGAAGCTGCCTGCTACAGTCGTATTTGGAGCGAGGTTGAAATAACTCTGTTATCTAAATTGCCTACTGCATGACCATAGAGTATCATATCTTCTGCAATCATTTGTGTTGTCTTAAATCACCGCATTTTTAATTACTTTTTGGGTCAGTGATGTTCTTTGAGAAATCTATATCATGGAGGATTTGTTTCCCCATCAACAGTGCCCCCAGACAAAAATCAATACTGATTCCTTGAATGCCATGTAGGTCTTTGCAACCGACATATTTGCTTCAAAGTTTTGTGATGATCTTGCAAACCACCATGTTGGAATGCAGTTTAGGAACAAGGTAAATCTTCGCAATCCTGTGATTCTATTCATTTGTTTGACATGTGGCCACTCATTATTCTAAAAAGTTCTGCCTTTAAGGTCCTGTTTTATTTCCCAGAAGACAGCGCAACCCTCCAAGGACTTTTCCGTGAATAAATATCATATGATCTTCGATGGCAATCATTTTTTAACCTTTGTGTTGTTTATTTGGTACTAGGTATTGGCCATGGGAGGAGCAAAGGAGCCCATTGAAATTTTGTCAGATTTTCTTGGAAGAGAACCATCTATCAATGCTTTTATTGACAGCAAAACCAAATATAACTCGTGATGCAAAACACTCGGAAATTAGGTTTAGATTTGCTTTCGACATCCGCATCATCCTGCGTTTTGGGTTGCTAGGAAAGGTCATTTAGACCATCGCTTTTTATTTGTGTGCATAAATTTTATCAATGCGAGTTATTAGTAATCATTCGTGCTTTACTTACGAATCCAGTTAAGCTGTTCATAATTAATCTTGAGAGAACAAGCCATTTGCGCTTGCCTAATAAGCAATAGCGATGCATCTTGTAATGGCCCGTCAGAATTATTTTTAGCCTTGTATTATGTTGCTTGGGCTTCTTTTTGTTGGTTACAAATTTCAGGTTTTCTGACGAAATTATTAAAATAAATAAAAGTAAACCTATTGCTAGCGCCTAAATAGTAATGTATATATATTTTTTTAAAAGGAACAACTCACTAGCAGAGGCTGTGTTGTGGACCTTCAACGTTGCTTTTCTCTTAGTTTATTTTACTTCATAACAATGGATTACCAACATCTTCTCAATTCACCTCTCTCAAAAGAGGCAAAGTTTGACATGATTTTACTTCCAGGAGATTCGTGGCAGCAAATGTCAATGCCTATCCATTGCACTTAGTACTGGTCACGTAAATGTAAATTAATGTCAACTTTCCCTCTTTTGAGAGAGATGAATTCAGAAGATGTTGATAGTGTATTGTTCTTTGAGCCTTCGATTCCCTTTGTAACACTGAAAAAAGAAGGTCAACTTAGTTTCCATAGAGGAATACGAAAACGAAAAATAATGTCAACTTGCCAGGATTAAGGATCCTTCCATGAGCATTTCGAAAACTACAGGGTTGTTCTCGTTCTGGTGGTCCTCAGAGAAGGAGTGAAATTAAAGTTAAATGTACAATAAAAATGGTCCCAATCAAAGGTCTGGAGTCTGGAATTGCAGCAATTAGAGCTCAAGGGAAGGGACAGGCAAACTTCGAACCTCGCTTTACTTCCACCTTTGGAATTTGAAGTTGGTAGAATGAGCTGTTGAATAAGAGTCAAAAGCATAATCAATTCTTTAATTCCTTACCAACTCTACCATAATCAATGAATAGACCAGACCATATAAAGCGAAGATCAATGTAGACCTGGCTAGTCATCCTGCATCATGCTGACTGATATAAGAGGAGCAAAGCGTATTTTTATGACTTTTTATCCTACGAAACGCATTGCTCAATTCATACAATAAATGCATATATATATATATATATATATACGCACCTTTTAAGCCCCGAGCCAGGCTTTCATGGCCTGTCTACCATGTGATCCTTGTTCAGAAGGTTATTGACTTTTAATTAATTCTAACAGACCGCTCTCTTTCATCTGCATATTTCCTTCACACATTCCATGTGATAAAGTCACATCCCATTCTTATAATGTTGAAGCACAGCAATTTTCATCATTAATGACATAACCTCTGTGTTAGAGACAAACAAGCTACTTGTGATGGAAATTTGCCAATAACAAATTCCACAATATTATGTCTAAACTAGATACATGAATTTAGTTATGTACTTGCAAGTTAACTAAAAATACCGCCAAAATAAATATTTTTTTCCTTATTGGCTTGATCTATCAACCGTCATATATCAATAAAGGTGATAATTAATAAATTGATTTATTATGCATTAAGTCTACTGACCTGTCCTTCGTTATGTTAGCAAACATGAACCTATTGACGTGTCTCTTGACAGCAATTCTCTCTAACAACTCACTCTTCTCTCTCTTTTATTTATTTATTTATTTAAGATAAAAAAAAAAAAAAAGTAAGCAAAGCAGGGTAGGATGATTTTTCAAAACTACAAGACACGATGGCGTTTTATTTTGGGCCTTGGGTTTCGAAATTCCAGGGACCGCGTCCGTATTCTGACTGAATTTCTCGAAGTAGAAAAATACTTGTATACAGTAAAATACCAGAGAGAGAAACCGTGACTTAAGAGATTAAATTGAATACAACAGACATGATACATCTCATCTAATAAAGAAACCAGAAAAAAATAAACAGAAAAAACCAAAAAAAGGAAAGAAACTTTCCTAGTCAACAAACAACAACGAGAAAATCAAGAAGCAAAATTTTGAAGTCTTCTGACTCTGTAAGCTCATACTGTCTGCATCTTTATTTAGTTCCTAGGTTTGGGTTTCTCTTTTTCTCTTCATTGCAACTCTTTTTTCGCTGGAATTTTGTTCAGTTTTCTTTATTTGTAGTTTTATTCAAAAGCAGAACACTGATCTTTTGCATGTAATTCAGGTTTTGAAGTACATAATTTGACGAGGGAGTGTGCTGAATATGCTGTGTAGTCCTCTCTTTTTCAGAGAAGAAAAAGGTTTTTTTTTTTCCTGCTCCTTTTTTGAATTCAATTTAGAAAGTTGCTGCTCCTCTTGTTTTTAGAGTCGCTTTACACTTTTGGGTTTTTTGTAATATTTGTAAAAAAGTTTCGATTTTTGGTGAAGAGAGGAGGGGTTTTCAGATCTTCGGAGAAGCAAGATAATAAATTTTGTATTGGTTGATTGAGATTGGAGAATTAAAGGATTTCTTTGTGTTTGCTTTTGATTTTGTGAATAGGGAGGGGTTTTCGTCTCTGTTCTTTGCTTGACTTTTTGGAAGTATAGCTTGGAGATAGAGTCGACTTTGGCTGGGCGCAACAAATTGATTTTATTCTATAGCTTATCTTGAAGTAGTTTTTATTTTTATTATTATTATTCTGGGGAATGCGGATTTTGGTTTCAGTTGATGAATTCTGATATTTTCGATTGGATATTTTGGGAAACATTGTTGTTGTTCTGTTAGGGTGGGGTGGCATTTTGTTTTGTATATATAAATTATGCTCAAACAAATTCTTAGTAAGCTTCCACGAAAGTCATCTAAGTCGACTGCAAATCGTGAGCACGGTGGAAACCATGCTGCCAATTCAAATGCATCAACGGGCTCAAGAAGTAATGGTGGAAAGTCTGCGAATTCAAGCATCTCATCCATAGCAGTAAATAATTCTGCTTCAGATGTAGCAATTCATCGAGGCGTTAATTCGAAGTTGAATGGAAATCTAGGGTTTTCTCAGTATGAAGGACTGCCTGGATTCAAGGATGTTCCAAACTCTGAGAAGCAGAACTTGTTTATTAAAAAGTTGAACTTGTGCTGTTACATATTTGACTTTACTGATCCTACAAAGAACCTCAAGGAAAAGGAGACAAAGCGACAGACACTGCTGGAGTTGGTGGAATATGTAACTTCTGTGAGTGGGAAATTCTCTGAAACTGCTATCCAAGAAATTATGAAAACGGTGTCTGCAAATTTGTTTCGGGCATTCACTCCTCAACCACGCGAGGACAAAGTTATAGATGGTGTTGATTTGGAGGAGGATGAGCCTTCTATGGATTCTGCATGGCCGCACTTGCAAATTGTGTATGAACTTTTCTTAAGGTTTGTATCATCAACTGAGACAGATGCAAAATTGGCTAAAAGATATATTGATCAATCCTTCATTCTGAAGTTGCTGGATTTATTTGACTCAGAAGATCCCAGAGAAAGGGAATACTTGAAAACAATCCTTCACCGCATCTATGGAAAATTCATGGTGCATCGTCCATTTATCAGGAAAGCTATCAATAACATTTTCTATCAGTTTATTTTTGAGACTGAGAAGTACAATGGTATTGCTGAACTTTTAGAAATTTTAGGCAGTATCATTAATGGGTTTGCTCTGCCTTTGAAAGAAGAACATAAAATGTTTCTTGTTCGTGCAATGATTCCTCTGCACAAGCCAAGATGCTTAGCAATGTACCACCAACCATTATCTTACTGCATTACGCAGTTTGTGGAGAAAGACTGCAAGCTTGCTGATACAGTAATACGGGGATTGTTAAAGTACTGGCCTGTCACTAATAGTTCAAAGGAAGTCATGTTCCTAAATGAGCTGGAGGAGGTTTTAGAAGCAACCCAGCCACCAGAATTCCAGCGCTGTATGGTACCTCTGTTTCAGCAGCTTGCTCGTTGTCTGAACAGTTCACACTTTCAGGTAAAAAGGTCCCAAATATCTGACTCTTCTTTGCTTCAGTATATATGTGCAACTCACTTCACTATTGTAGCATGATTCCCATTATTTATTTATGGAAAAATATAAACTTCTTCTGTGAAGATGCTTCATATCTGCAAGATAGAATGTTATTAACTTCAGTAGTGCTTTAGTCATTCAAAGAAGAAACCTCTGCAGTCAGATTCTAAAAGTTTGCGTTATTTTTTTATTACTAATATTTCCTCCCATCTTTGTTAGAATATGTCGGTTAGTATTGCTACAAAGAATTCTCTGAAGTCTCATATACTTGGAGTTTGTATATTGCTCTTGTTATGTTCTTTTGGCATTCATATTTTAATATTACCATCATCTGTTAAATTCACTGTGAAGATATGAAAGACAGAAGCATAAAGGTTTCTTCTGTTTTCTGTAAGAAACAAGATGCTGAAGGTGATGTTAGACATGAGTGTCCTTCAGGAAAGTTATTTGAGGAAACAGAAAAGCATAGAGGCTAAAAACTGGATGTAAAAAATTTGGTGCTTAGCCATCCATTAAAGCAACTGATAGCTTATATCTTGGTTGTGGGGGTTCAAAGTCGGTCTTTGTCAAAGTAACAAAATTGCTGGAGAGTATGAAAGTTTGTCAATGCTAAATCTTGTTAATTCTATATGTTCTCATTGAAAAAGTATATCAGATGACGAAGCTACAGTTTAGTTGGCAGTGATCTTTTTGCTCAAAAGGAACATAGGTTCTGGAGCTTTATTATGCTTTTTGGTTCATAATAGATTGCTAAACTATCTCTGAGAAAATCAAGCAATTTTTATTGGTTTACAACTATATGATAAAATTTCAATTTTATAAAATTAAGGTGTGTTCTTTTTCTGCCTGAATGGCCAAATGTTTTCTTTCCTTCATGTCAGTCATTCAGTTGATTCTAAATCTGAGTCTGGTAACCTGCATCTTCATGTATGATGTCATTCTGTTTCAACTTTAAGAAGCATTGTTGTTTTTCCTCCATCTTTCCTACTGTGTCTTTTCCCTTCTTTTTATTTTTAAAAAGGATAGATAGCTTTAGTGTTGGAATTGACTGGGGCCTTTCCATTTCTTGCGTAACATAGTTTGGTTTGCAATAACAATGATTAGAATTCTATAAGTAGTGAGATATTGTATTTTAACAGTGATAAATTACTCAGTTTCTTTGGCAATATTGAGATTCTACTAAAGTAATTGAATAATATAAAACTAGAAAGCGAACTCATTCAGCATTAGAATCTGAATTCCATTTCTGGTCATGTTTGAGTGCTTGTTTGTCCTAGGTTAATGCACATGGTAATATGTTATTTTCATTTCTTCACACTAGACATAAAATGTTGAAATAAAACTATGGCAAAATCTTTTTTAAAAAATGCCAGCCATTAAGACGAATTTGCCAATAGTCTGTTCAGAGCTGTTGTGGATTGAATTACTAAATTTATTATGGAAAGATCTTCCATAGAAGTGAATGGGTGTCCTTTAATATGTGGTATTTAGGTGTTGTTTGGTAATCAGAAATAGAGTGATGGGAATAGAAATGTAGGAATCGGAATGAAAATTAAGGAACCGGAATGGTATTTGTATTTTTATACTCTGTTTGGAATATTAACGAGGAATCAGAATGTAGCTTAAATTTTTTAATATCTGATTTTTTATATAAATAAAAATAACGATTAAAAAATAATTTTATTAAACTATAATAGTTGTAAAAATAATAAAGTTGATGATGGTGATTGTGGTTATGATAGTAGCAGTTCTAGTGGTGGCGGTGGCGATAGTGATTGTGGTGATGGTGGTTGTGATGGTGGTGATGATGATAAGGGTGGTGGGTGTGATAGTTATGGTAGTGGTGGTGGTGCTTGTGAATGGTGGTGGTGGATGGTGGTGGTAAAAGTAGTTAATTTATAATAAATAAATAAAATATATTATTATTTTGAAAAAAAAATTCATTTTCATTACTTGTTTTTTATTCCCACATCTTATATGGGAATGAAGTTGTTTGTAAATTTTTATTCTCATTCCTACTCTTCATTCCCATTCCCACTTCAGTCCTCTTAACCAAACAACTACAATATAGGAATAAAACTTCCATTCTCATTCTCACTACTCTATTATTGATTACTAAACAACAACTTTTTCACTTTGATACTTGTTTGAGATGATATCTTCCATTCTTAGTTTTGTTAAAATCAGTATATGTGGCTGATGCTTTTGTAGGTGGCAGAGAGAGCATTGTTCTTGTGGAACAATGACCCCATTGAGAACTTGATCATACAAAATCGCAAGGTTATACTACCCATTATCTTTCCTGCTCTAGAGAAAAATGCTAGAAACCACTGGAATCAAGCTGTCCGTAGCTTGACTTTAAATGTACGCAAGATCTTTGAAGATCTTGATCATGAGCTGTTCAATGAATGCCTAATAAGGTTTCAGGAAGATGAAATGAAGGAAGCTGAGATTAAAGCAAGAAGTGAAGCCACATGGAAACGATTAGAAGAGCTTGCCGCTCAGAAAGCTGCAAGTGATGACATGGCGGTTGTTCCTACCTGCAAAACACTCAATCGCACCACTTCAGGTTAGCCGTTAGCAGAAGCATAGATATTTGTTGGTATCACCATGGACTGTCAATTTTTGATTAAGATGGATTCATTATATTGATAATGTTTCTTTTAGGTGTTTGATATCGTTTGAAATTCATTTACTGCCTAATAAACATTTTGTAAATTGATCCTTCTGTTCTTACCAAATTTTACTCTTTTCGGGCTTTTTTTCTTTTTTTTTTTTTTTTTTAAAGTGAAACGTAATCTTGTCTGGTAGAAAGTTGAAAGGCAAATAATATTAGGAGATTGATCAACACACGTCTGCACTATTTGCTATTTCACATTTCTTTGCCATCTAAAGTAGTTCTCTTCTTTGGTTTCTCGACCTCATAAAATTTGCTCAGTATAATTTCCCAATATACGTTTTAGCTTGAAATGCTGGCCAAAAAATGCTGATTGAAACCCCATTGCCATGAATTTCTTATGTTGAGTAGGTAGCTAACAGAAGGCCAATTCTCACTGGTGCAAGGAGTTATCATCATTATGGATAGCGAAGTAAGGAAGTAGCCTGGCAATGATGGAAATACCCTCTTTCGATGAAGGTGCAATGATGCAAGTTACACCATCTGACACAAGAAATGATCATCATTTGTATTGTCCACAAACACAAATGGGTAAATTTCATTTCATAACTAAGGATATGATGACGTTTGGTTTTTGATTCCTTGGTATTTGATTCTACTCGAATGTGGAACCATTCCGCGAAGCTTCACTCGCCTATCGTGCCTTCGCAGTTGGCATCTGGGTTGGGTTTGGGCTGGCAATTTAAATCCAACGAACCCATCCAAATTGATTTTTAAAATCCTTACCCGCTTAGTAGATAAGATGTGAATATTATAAAATTCGATGTAAAATATAATATATCAGTTTTATATGTGGACATGTAAAACATTTATATGGACAGAGAGAGGATAGTCAAAGATGTGTGACACTAAAAAACACGTTTTGAACTTGAGTTGCTTCTGTTTGCGTTCATGGTCTCCAATTAATCCCGTTCTGCAACTTAATAACTAACCAGCTCTTGCTTTGTTATTATGTCGGGACACGCTTCTTCTGTATCTGCACGGAACGTGGTTCACATACTTTTGTAAAAATGCATTTGAGTTGATTGATATTTTTAAATGTTTCTTTTTTCGATAATTTTTACGTCAGCATATCAAAACCATTTAATATATATATATATTGAAAAACATTTTTAAATACGGTTCGAATGCATTATCAAAGATATGTTATTAGTTTTATCCCAGAACATCATTAGTTCAGAACGAGAGAATTCATGATAATTCTAGTCCGACACACATATAGAACATCACAAGTCTTACCATTTACAACCAAGCCATTCTTTTGTGATTAATGTAATAGAACACATCTAAATATGATCATCATCATCATAATTATTACAATTTCAGTATCTCATAATTTTATTCTGTTTGAATGTTTATTTTTTTTAATTGAAATAAATTTAAAAATAATGATGTGTTTGAGATCCATTAACACAAGACATTCTATTAATAATTATTCAAAAACACTTAAAAAAATAATAAGATGAAATGAAAAATCAAAACGTAGCCTCAAATCTAAAATATTACCATAAGGAGTGAGACTCATTGTTTTGCTATGTATGAATTTAAGATGATCACAATGTTAATATTTTTCAATCTCAAATGATTGAGAGAATTGAAATAGAAAGAAAGAAAAAAGAAAAGAAAAGAAAAACGCTCCAATAGAGACTGGATTCAGAAAGAGTGGATACTCAAATTTATTTTTATAATTAATATCCTTAAAAAGTGAAAACTCTTGTCCAGATGAAGAGAGAGAGAGAGAAGGGGTTGCTTTAGGATTAGAAACTGTGAAGGTCTAAAGGGTTGGTTTGGTCACTTTGGTCGCCCTCTCTCCCTGTCTCTTCTCTGGCCCAAAGTAATCGAGGAAAAATAAAAATAAAATAAAAATAGAAGCTTTTCATTGCTGCGCTTCTAGTTGATGTCACTGCTTCTTCTGTAAGTACTATCAAACATTCTTCTTTCTTCTTCTTCTTTTTTGTTTTTCTGTTTTCACTGTCGTATTTTTCATCCCCATAATTTTTGAATTTGGATTTTGTCTAATGTTTTTGTTGTTGTTGGTGTTGTTGTCTGTGATCGAACCCAGATGAGATCCTATCGCTGCCTGATTAAGCTGTTTATTGGTATACAAGAATTCGACAAAGGGGCTACTACTGGTGTGTGTGTATGCATGATTTTGTACTGCTTCAGTTTCTGCATCTGCTTTCTTTAATTTTTTGAATTTCGAGTCAAAAGGTCTCTTTCGATTCCCATTTTTGGATTTTTTTTTTAGCTTTTTAACGAGCCATAAAAGACAACCGAGTTGATGATGATTTCTCCAATAAAAAATGCTTCTAGGTTTTCTTTAATTTCTTATAGAAATCCTGGGTTTGTTGTCCTCCATGGTTTCCTTTGATATGGATTCTATGCATCTGCCTACTCTTCTCTGTTTGCGAAGTTGTGTTTGTGCTGTCCTTTAATGGACTGAAATCTGCTTTGGAGGACAATCTGTATACACCTGGGTTTAACAGCAACTTTGATCCTTGTGTGCGTACAAGAATTATTTTTAAGTTATGATCAAACAAATACTTGGTAGGCTTCCCAAGAAGCCTTCCAAGTCATCCGAGAATCGTGAATTTGGGGGTACATCTGTCGCTCCTTCAAATACTTCCTCTGCTTGTAAAAGCACTTGTGATTTTCAGAGCAACAGGCCTGGAGCTTTAAACAATTCATCTCCTCCCGGTCCCGATTCTGCTCCTCTTTTAGGTTTTAGTCATGGAATGAAGCCTACCCAGGTTGGGAATCTGAAGTTGAATGGCAGTTCAGTGCCTGCTCCGTATGAAGCATTGCCTGGATTTAGGGATGTCCCAAATTCTGAGAAGCAAAACTTGTTTATTAGAAAGCTCAACTTGTGTTGTGTGGTGTTCGACTTTGCTGACCCTACTAAGAATTTGAAAGAAAAGGATATCAAGCGCCAGACGTTACTTGAGCTTGTGGATCATGTTACTTCTGCAAACGGGAAGTTCACGGAAACTGTCATGCAAGAAGTTATAAAGATGGTATCTGTTAATTTGTTTAGGCCTCTTACACCACAGCCCCGGGAGAACAAGGTATTAGAGGCCTTTGATTTGGAAGAGGAGGAGCCCATGATGGACCCAGCATGGCCTCACTTGCAAATTGTGTATGAATTCTTTCTTAGATTTGTTGCATCGCCCGAGACAGATGCTAAGTTGGCTAAGAGGTATGTTGATCACTCTTTTGTTCTCAAGTTGTTAGATCTCTTTGATTCTGAGGATCCAAGGGAGAGGGAGTATCTGAAGACAATTCTACATCGCATCTATGGAAAGTTTATGGTGCATCGTCCATTCATCAGGAAGGCTATCAATAATATCTTCTTCCGTTTTATTTTTGAAACGGAGAAGCATAATGGGATTGCTGAGCTTTTAGAGGTTTTGGGTAGCATAATCAACGGGTTTGCTTTACCGCTAAAAGAAGAACACAAATTGTTCCTTGTTCGGGGACTGATCCCCCTTCACAAGCCAAAGTGTTTACCTATGTACCATCAGCAATTATCATACTGCATTACACAGTTCGTGGAGAAAGACTGCAAGCTGGCTGATACTGTTATAAGGGGTTTATTAAAGTACTGGCCAATCACAAATAGTTCCAAGGAGGTCATGTTCCTAAGTGAGTTGGAGGAAGTCTTAGAAGCAACTCAGCCAGCAGAATTTCAAAGATGTATGGTACCGTTGTTTCGTCAAATAGCTCGTTGCTTGAGCAGTTCACACTTTCAGGTAATAAACCATAAAATATCTTCACCTACTTTTGGATTTTTCGTTGACTGTATAAATCTCTATATTGTGAAACTTGCCTCGAGAACTTTGGCTGTTTCTACTTGCTTTGTTCTTTTCTGAAGTAAATGCATTTCAAATGTTTGAAACATTTGCATCCTTTCCGTCATAGTAGGAGGAAGGGTCCTACATGGTCACATTCAGTGTTGTCAAAGGTGCAAGGTGTCTTAAGGTGACAAGGCCTGCTAGCGCTTGAGGCGCTAGGCATGAGCCTAGTTGCTTGCCTGACTCAGAGTCAAGTGAGACGCTAATAATGAAAGGATATATGACCATAAATAAAATCAATTAATTAAAGTTAAAAGCAGAATATCACATCACAAGGAACCTTTTTAACATTTAATTGACTTAAAAGACGGATAGAATAATTTAAGGAGCTATTGTTTTGCTCTTCATCAGCATCCACTAAATCATTATCCATGCTTTCCTTTCAATTTTCCATTTCATCCAAATAATCATCTTTCAGGCCAAAATGTGCTTCTTTAGAACTTGATCCTACTGCACTTCTATAACTAGACATCTCTGCCGTTGTTCTCAATTGTGTGTCCTCTGCAGTCCTCACTTCTCCAGCCCCAGATGCTCTTGCCTCATCACCGATGTCAAATTGTCATAATCAAACACTAATTGATCCTCTGCTGCTAAAGTGTCAGCACATCTCTCTCAAATCACCTGTTCATTATAATTATCAGTATCAATAAAGAAATAGAACTAACAACATCCCTCAAAATAGTGACTTACATTTTCTGTCAAAACTTAAGGCAGTTGCATTTTGGGTTAGATTTAGATCTTTTTCCAGGTTATCAGTAACATTTTTAATATTTTTTGTTTTTCCATTAATATCTGTTTGCCACTTTCTGTGGTTGTAATATGGTGCTTTAGTATGTGTTTTTGCAATCTAAGTCATGTATACTTTTGCAGACAAATTATTTTGGTTTGCTTTGATTCATGCCATAAAAAATTAAGTTTATCTGACCTTGATAGTTTCCTAAGTGCAGAGTCAGGAATGCAGAGTAAATGTATCTTGTCTTGCTTTGTTTGATTGAAGTCATACAAGCAGTGGGTGTATGAAGTTTTATAATTTTTCTATTTTTAGAGTAAGAGTGTAGGATTTAGATTTGATATGTGCACACCATTTTCACACTCTCTCTCTCTCTCTCTCTCTCTCTCTCTCTCTCTCTTTATTTGTGGTACTATTTGCTTCCCAACCATAGTTTTGCTCCAGTTTATCATGCTACCCTAGTGAACTATTTTAAGCTTTTAGCACGATGGAATAGTATCCAAATTCCGAATGCTGAGATGCTGACTCTTAAGTAGTCTTTGCTTTTCCTCAGCCATGGGAAATAATGGAAAAATATATTATTTGATAATTGAAGACAATGCCACATTGAGATTGTATTTACTGGGATCGGATCAACCAAAGAATTATAATTCTCATTATTTTGCTGGCTTTTCCTCACTGGTTGGTGACCGAGAAAGGAAGAACATTGTTTTTCCTGGCGCAGGGGGTACTAAACTTGTAATTTTGATTCGTGGGTTTATATGGAGGTGTATTACATTACCTGAGGTGCCAAGAAACATTGAGGTATCCTCCTGTACATTGGATTTTACTGGGAAATTGTGGAGTTTCATATGTACCATTCTGAATTTCAACTCCTAGACATTAGTAGAGAAATTGTTGTAACTTTGGGGTCAGCCCATATATTTCTTCTGCCTGATGAGAACCATGTTATCTTTGATGACTTGTCTTCTACTGAATTGATACTCTTCAAAAAACTTATGCTGGGGAGGTTTTTACTAAATTTTCATACTAAACTTGGTGTCATTTTCATCTTGATTTTTTTTTTCCCTAAATCAAGGGAATATAGGTTTATCATTAAAAAAGAAAATTAAAATAAAAAAGTGGCTATTACCTAATTTACTTAGAGGTTTAGTAAAAACTGAGTATCTCTAGCAAAATCATAGCTAGAAAATCATAGCAGTTAGATTGTTAAAAGTAGGATTAGATGCACTTGTAGTCTTGTACTTTCTTGATTTTTTTTTTTGAGCACTTCTGCTTCAGTTTTTGTCAAATATGATGTATTAAAAAGTAACGAGAATCTCCATAAAAAGCAATTAACATGGATGCTAAATTGGCGATGTGAGTATCCATCCCATGCCATTAAATATAGGTAATGTTAGCGTCTACGTCACATGCTTTTAAATAGAAAAATCGAACCTATCAATGAGTCCCATAGATGCGAGTTGGTGAAGAAGAAAAAACCCCTAATTAAGATCCCTAATTTGATAAGAAGGGGGAAAAGATGTTCTGTTTCTTTCAAACAGAATAACCACATCTTTTTCATGTGGGTTCTTTTTTTAGACAAAAAGAAAAAACAGAACACTTCTTTCTTTTTCTCCAAAATGCAACCCCGGACCTAACCTTTATTTCAGATTCTATTTTCCTTTCTCCAAATTTTCTTTGCCTGCCTACTCTCTATGCTAGATGAAGAATCATTAAAATTATCTCTTTACGAAGAGTAATTATAGTTATCTCGTTCGCATCTTTGATTTGGCAAGAATTTATATGACCTGTTCAAGCCTTTTGATGGAGCATGGTTGAGTTGTTGAGAATATCTGTGATATTCGGCTTTTGGATCAATTATTTTCCAGGTCTTTTTTTACTACAGTTTTCCAGTCTACAAATATCAATTTTTTATTTTATTTTTTCAGCGTAATTTGCTTTTGCTACAATTGTGCAATTTTCTGAACTTTGAGCCAGATTTATTATTCTTATTTTTTTTTTGCATTGGTGTTAGACTTAAGAATTTTGTTCTTGGCCTTGGAACTATTTTCATTTTATCTTTAATCAATTATTTAATTTATTATTTTTTATGTTTTAAAAGAGGCGACATGGCAACTAATCCATGTTAGTCACTGATGTGGTGAATGGATTCCGTACCATTTGATAACTTTGGTGCAATATGTGCTACTGGGTGAATGCACTATCAGTTAATGGGTTGACTTATTAATAGAGTTTGCCGATTTGGGCTTCTCTGTGTTAGTTTTATTTTTATAAAGAATTTTCATGTTATTGATTAACAAAAATTAAACTGGTGGTATGCAAATAGAAAATTATGAAAATACATGGGCTATAAGTGTATTTACCTGTCAAATATAGAAACTGGCATATAAAAGGCATGCTTTTCACAATTGGATTGGACCAGCTGCTTGAATGGAAGTAACTGGGTTTTCTCCTCAGGTTATCGTTCTTAGTTGAATTTAAAAACCATTTTGCGAATTGGGTGAAAAATGGCTGATCTGAATCAGTAAGTGGCCCAGGTTTGACTAGTATGATGGTCAAGTATCACTTATTCCCTTTGTGCCACAAGGAGTGTCCTGTTTGACTTTTCTCATAGTTTAAGAAATCTCAATAAATACAGTGCCAACTCATATTTTTGTGCATATTTTCCAAAACTGCTCCTTTATTCTTTTAAGCAAAATAGATGTATTTATAAGTTTAACGGGTATAATAGGAAAGTAAAGTAATTAATTTACTAGACACACATTTATTTAATAGTAATATTGATACTCTTTTGGGACAGAGTTAGTATTAAAGTTGCAAATCACAACTTTGGAAAGTTCTTTTCATTTACACCATTGGTTCACTTGCAGGTTGGTCTTAGGCCTGATAATAGCATTTGAACTGAATCCAAATTTCACACTTCATTTTCTGGATCTGTTCCCAAAAACTCACCTAAGTCTCTACTATTTCTTAATAATTATATATAGTTTTACGTCCTAGTTTAACCTTGGTTCAACCTTTAATTCTTGTCCACTCCTTCCTTTGTTAGATGATTGTGCTGGTTCTGAGAAGATTCAAGGCAAATAATTAGAATAAAAAGATCTAGTTGCCAAAAAAGGCTGCTAGTCAGGAGTCATGTGCATCCAATATGTGTTGTTGGGCTCTCTAGATGCTTATAGTTCTTAGGAAACTGTCTGTGGTGATTACAAAATCATGCAGAAGTTACCCAGTAACATACTCAAAACTCAAATAAAATTTAAGCTGACAACATGGTTGGCTGTGAAATTGGTATTGCAAAGTAAACAAATATAGTCGGTCAAGAATGAGATATTGAATGTTGTTAACATTTGAGACTTGAAGACACTCAGCTCTTCTCAAGATTATCCTTACTATGTGTATCTTCTTGTGACGTGTGCTGCAATATTTCTTGACTGGTGAACTATATTCTGTTTCTCACCCAAATATAATTATAACATGCGGTAGTTGAGAAACAAAAACATAGGAGTGAATACAAGTCCTTTTTTCTTGTGTTGAATCAGTTTTCCCCTGTGCGCAAGCTATATTACAAAAAATAGTACCCTATTTTGAGAGGGCAACACTGCTGGTTCAATATTAGTTCAGGCAGTTCTTGTGGGGTAGGATTGTTTTTCTTATTTCTTCTTGGGGTCATGCAGCAGGTGTCTTTAGGAACTCTCCTAGCAGATATTCAAAGGGATGAGAATGTCCTTTTATATTGATTTTGTGTGTTTTTATCTTTGTTTTGCTGGAAGAGATTGAGGAAAGGATTGTAGCCTATGCAGTCTTTCATAGAATGTCTCGTCACATGGATGATTGATGGACCCTTGTGGTGTAATGTAGCCTACATTTTGGAATGCTCTGGCAGCTTGGTCCCGGCCTTAAGAACTGTATATGAGGTGTCATTTTTGCTTCAATTTCCTGAGTCAGACTTCGGTGCTCAACTTATGTTGCACTTAAATGAAAGATAAATAGTCGAAAAGCTAAATTTTGATTGCTAAGGATTGTTGTATAAAATAGATTGAATCAATCAATTAATGGTTATCACATGCTACTTGTTTGAATACATGTAGATCAAAAAATGAAAGAAGCTGCTGGACTTGCAACAGAAGAAGTGTAGTAAATATAAGGTTCAGAATCTCTATATTTAAGGAATAGCATTTGGAAGGTGTTAAACTAGGGTGCCTGTGTCATGCCAACTTTGGAAGCACTTGATGTGGGACTATTCTCTAATCTCTCCTGGTCCTTGCCTGGATTTTGCTTTGTCTCTTACATTCTCCATTGCAGATGTCTTCTAGGAGTCAGACATGCTACACATGCACTTATTTCAACAGTGGGTCATGTATGATTGAGGTTCCACATCAGTGGGATGTGTGCCAATGATTTCATTACGAGCGATGGAAATGATGATGCCCCATGGCAGTAGTTATTAATTTAGTGTAATTGTAGGTGTTGATGCAATTTTGGTGCTGGAGGTAAATAGTTTGTGTGGTTAGGGTGATTGAATGGTACTAGCTACTAGGTTATTGTGTTGACAGTTGTGTGCGGTGAAGGCAATAATTTCAGATTGTGCTTGTGGTATTTGTCATTTTTTCATTGCTCTAGATGCTAAAAGATTAGTGATGCATGTGGAGATGGATTACATTTTTGTTTAAACTAGTTTCTACAGAACTGTTTTGGTCCCCTCTTATGAGTTTGGGAATTGCTTCATCAGTGGCAGGGCCAACTGTAAGGCAAGATGCTGTAGTGCTGGTGTTGCTAGCAATCAAGCTTCCTTCACATATTATCTCTTAATAAATATTACCAAATGCAACTATTAGGTTTAGATTCTCTGTAAATTAGGCTTAGCAAATTGCTGTCTGGTTAATGCTATACCCAGGGCTTCTGAAGCTTTTAACTTTTATTAAACCAATTTGGTTTCAAGCAACTTGTTCTATTCTGAATTACTTTCCATTTTTGGAATATTGTGGATCAAGTCTTGGCTGAGGGCGTGTTGTAAATGATGTCTGCTTTTATTGTAAAGTCATGGTAATCTACTGTTATCAATTTTTATTTTTATTTTTTAAATTATTGAGATTGTGGTTGAATTCTTATAATGTGCTTATCATTCATGGCACTCGTTTCCTAACTCTAAGGTAAGTTTACTGATCCTTGCTCTTACAGGTGGCAGAAAGAGCTTTGTACTTGTGGAACAATGATCATATCGAGAACTTAATTAGGCAGAACCGCAAAGTTATACTCCCCATTATCTTCCCTGCCCTGGAGAAAAATGGACGTAACCACTGGAATCAGGTGGTGCAGAGCTTAACAGTTAATGTTCGCAAGATCTTTGCTGATATTGATTCTGAGCTGTTTGAGGAGTGCTTACGCCAGTTTCAAGAGAATGAAGCCAAGGCAGAGGAAATCAAAACAAAACAAGAAGCCACCTGGAAGCGCTTAGAAGAGATTGCAGCAACAAAAGCTGCAAGTAGCGAAGCAGTCCTTGTTCCCCGTGCTATACCCAACTTAACATCTTCCAGCTAGAGATAGAATGTTATCCATATGTTGTATAAAGGTTATTCAAATTTCATTGACTGGTCTGGGAGCGGCAAGATGGTCATTGTGTTTAAAGAGCTTGATATCCTCATGGATCCATGCCCGATTTATCTTTTTTTTGTGGCTGCCAACGTCAAGATGTTCTGGGGGATGATATCTTTGTGCAGCTGACAATTCTGCCATTTGCTCGGGGGACTATATACTGGGTAAGATCAAGAGTTAGTAGCTGAACTCACATTTATGATGGAGGGGATATAAGACCAGTAATTTTGTTAAAACTTTATTTATATTTAGAGGGTCTCATGAAGGAGATACAGGTCTCAAGTAATTTAAGAAGTGTCTTGATTTTAGTCGAGTCTTGTGTATTTACAAAATACTTCAATCTCATTTCTTATTTGCATGTATCATATATATTTTATTTGTGTAAAACTGAACTTTTTTTGTGGGTGTGAATTCTGTTTTTCACTAATACGATAGATTTGAATGGGGTTAATTGGAAAGAGACTTTCTTTCATGGATCGTTTCGGACTTAATTTGTCTTCTGACAAAAGAAATCTCAGTGTCACCCAAATGATTTCAATTTCGTGGTGGATTCTTCGTTGGATGGTGGTGGATTCCGATGCTTGTTTGAGTAACTTGGCTTTGCTAAAATGAAGCATCCACTTGTTTATGGCTCGACGTCATATTATATGGTAAAATTATAATTATTACATAGACCGCCTTGCGTTACATGAAGCAATGGTACGGGCTTGAAGCTAGGCATATCTTTCTTTCTAACAAATGCCAATAAGCTATAAGCACTTAACTAAGAGTACTTACGATAGTACTTGGGCATATTTCTAGAAGATTGGATCTTCCCGTCACAAGTAATTGTTTTTCAGAAAAAGGCAATGCCAACCAAGGCGCATTCACGATATTCTAAAGTATAACGTATAGAAACAAAGGACTACTCGGCTTTTCATGAGTTTGTAAATAACCTTCCAATTCTTCTTCTCTTATTTATTCTAGCATATTTTCTTGTCGATACCCGGTTCCTTTAAATCTAACTAGGGCTAGCAATTATGATCATCCAATTGCTCCTAGCCCATTAATTCTTGAACAGTTACAATTATCTTTCTTTGTAAGGCAACATACACACCATCTGTATATACAATTCATTCGCAACTCCCAAGATAGTTTTTGTCTCAAATACATCAGGGTCACGTTGTCTGTTGCCATGAGAGTTGAGATCATGGAGAGATCATCACTGCTCTCAATGCTAAAACCGCCAGTGCAAGCGTGGAATAGCCAACCCTGGTGGAATCTGCTTCTGCACTTATTCGGAAATGTGAAATGACTTGGGTTTTCCTAGAAAGTCTATGCTGTTTCTCAGCTTGAATATGCGCAAGAGCTTTGTGCCCCCATTACCAGAAAACTATGCTGGTAACTGCGTGGGGAATATTAACGTAGCATCCATGAAGGATGGTGATGATCAGTTAGAATTGCAGTGCTTAGTCGGGCCGAATAAGAAAAGAGCTCGAAGAATTCGATGAGAAGTATGTGAATAAAATCCAAGGGGATGAGCAATTTGTAAGTCTGCCAAAAAGTTTGGAAAGCTAGCCATGAGTGATGATACTGAATTTTATAAATGCACCAGTTGGTGTAAATTTGAACGGTTCGATGCTGATTTTGGATGGAGAAAACCAACATGGTTGGGTAGCACTATTACAATCATGTCGTTTTGATGGATATGAGCGATGGCGATGTAATAGCTAGAAGCGTGGGTGACCTTGAATGTGTAAAAGGCATGCCCTCGTTCCAATCCGTCAAGGAGCTGCTTGAATTTGCTTCCGTAAATCTTAGCGCATGAGTTTCGTAGTTTTAAATAAGGATCACAGTTGAAAAAACAATAACGGTCGTAGCTTATTGATGTAATAAAATAACGATTGCGACAATTGATATCGTGAATATATTAACATTGTTAATAAGTTTATTCTAATTTATATATTTTTAATAATTTTAATAATTAAGTATACTAATAATATCTCTAATAGTTTATTTATTACAAAAAATAATTTATAACACTTCTAGTAGATAAATATCACAAAAAAATAAATTATAAAATATTCATATTTAAAATAATCGTAATAGAGAATCATAATAATAATTGTGATTCTTATCTAACAAAGTTACAACAATAATAATTTTGAAAAGCATATTAAAAATAATATAAAATTAAAAAATAATAACAAGTTTTTAAAACAATAAATACCATGTAATTTATTTTCTCAAAATAAAAGGACTAATCTATAATTTATTCAATTAAAGCAGCGATTAAATCATACATTAATCCTTCTAGTTTTGATAAATGAATAAATTAGTTTTAAATATTTTAAAAACTAATTATTTAATCTTTTAATCAATATTAATCATATTTATATTTTAATATTTTATTCTATAAAATATTTTTTCATCAATTTTTTTCATGGTATAAATTTATTTTTTCATTTTTCTATTTTTTAAAACAAAAGGAAAAATAAATTAAAAATATGAAATGAATAAAATAAATAAATTATTGATTTTTGAAATAGATGGATTAACTAAATTATTGTTTCAAAATAAGAGGACTAATGTATAATTTATTCCATCAAAACCTGCAAAAGCAAGTTTTTGATATTATGGGTATATTGCCTTTTGAAATAAAATGACTTTTTTTCAAAATTCCTCTCTTCTCTACTTCTGTTATCAGTTCACCCGAAGCTTCTTTTATCAGTTATCACCAAAGCTTCTCTCTCTACCTCTCATCTCATCTCTGCTTGCCTCTCGTCTCTGCCTCTCATCCTCTCTGACTCTCAAATCTGCCTCTCTGCTTCTTGTTACCTCTTAGTGCCAGAATTTTAGCAGTTGGAATGATTGAAATTCTTTTTTTTTTTTTTTTTTTCATAACGCGGTTATACAATGGAACATAACAGGTTACATAAAAATAATATCATTATTTATTATTATTATAATTTTATTATTTATCGTTATACGTGTAAAATAGTGTTAAGATACTAGTAATATCAAATATAGTAACAAGATACTCCGTTGTTATTATTATATAATGATCGGGACGTTAAATAACTATCATTTTTTTAAACCATAATCAATTTAGCATGCTATAGGAAAAAGTACTTCTAAAGCAATTATGTAAATGAATTTTATCACTCATGTCTTAGCCAAAAGAGGATTTTCAGGTTTTTTCATGTTCTCAAGAACAACATCCATCGGTTATATATGTTTCAAATTAATTGTATGTTAAATTTTTTTTTTAATAACTCAGGATATCCAGGTGAATTTATGAATATTTCGACTAATTCTTGATTCACTGAATATCTTGCAAGTCCAATGAATAGGTAAGGTACCGCAGAGATGACATGCATGTATAAAGAGAATCAAACCCTAATATCATCGGTAAGCGACCCTCAATCTCAACACTAGATTGTGAACTCAAACACAATTGTATGTTAATTTTGAAATGTATAGTTGTAGTTTTTTTTAGATTCAATGTATATATAGCCTAACTTCCTGTTGTAAATCCTAATGTATCAGTTTAGCTAGCTAGGAGACTACTACTAGGGAAAATTGACGGGAATTATGTAGAATACGTCCCATCCAAATATAGATGAATTTTATCTATTCGTGTTTGAGTACATTATAAATTAGTCTTTTTTTGTTTTGAGAAATAAAGTAATTAGTCCCTTTAGTTTTAAAACTCAATCATTTAATCTTTTTGTTATTTTGTAATTTATTTTGATTTTTTAAAGAAATAAAAAAATATATAAATAAAAATTACGAAAAGATTGATGAAAACATGATACAGTTTATAAAATAAAAAATATTAATTAATCTTGATCAATATTAATTAAAATGATTAAATAATTAAGTTTTTCAAAAGTTTCGATATGGTAACGATGATGTCAGATTTTTCTTCCTTGTCGTGTCAGCTTTGGCAGACGCTTCATCCTCCCGACGCTAATTTAATGAGTTAATTACTATTTTTGCATACAGATTTTAGCTTCCAAACTCAAAGTAAATAATCAAGTACGTACGTCGGCGAAAATTTAGGTGGTCGGTGACCTTGAAATTTATGCAAGGATCTTGGAATTTATCATTTTTCAACTATTTTTTTTTCCATATTTTTCAAAGTTTTAACCAATTTATAAGGGTTAATGATGTGCTCATATAATGAGCTAAGTTTCTAATTAGTTTTTATATCGTAAAATGAGTCAATTGTTTTCCTATTAATTAAGCAAGCTTATAATCTATTTTTTTAGTTAATTTTTTTGGTTAAACTACTTAAAAATGTCATATGATCAGCACATTACTTTTTTTTCTTTTTTTTTGTGAAAATGCCCTTCTTAACCTAACGTGTTAAGTTTTCAATCTATTTTTATATAATGTGTTGAGTTTTTAATCTGTGTTTAATGTGCTAAAGAGTCCATTATATTATTGTTAATAATTTTTCTAATAATGCATTGTACTATAGTAATTTTCTTGTTAATTAAAAATATATAAAAATAATTAGTACTTGTTAGTATGTAAGTGTTTAAGTGATTAAAAAACTATGATGAATTTTTTGTGAATTAAAAACATATGAATCGCTTGCAAAAAATAACTAAATGATATAAACATGAAGTAAAAACCTACATAATTATAATTTAAATGATTGTTAATAAGTCTCTTAAGTATGTAAATAAAAACCAAATATTTATGTAAATTAAGTTATTGTAATTAAAGAAAACATGTTTATTTCATGTTTAAGAGACAAATTATCAATCATTTAAATTATAATTATGTGTTTTTTAATTACAACTTTAAGAGACTAATTAATAATTATTTAAAATATAATTATGTAGTTTTTTAATCCAATCAATTATATTTATATCATTTAGTTATTTTTTGCACGTGATTCATATTTTTTTATAGAGATGATTTAATATATTAGTAAATATTATATCAATTTGTTCAATATCATACATATATAAATTATTATAATAAAATCGATTCTTTAGCATTAAAAATATGTTAATTATAATCCCTTGAACACTTACATATTATCTTGTACTGATTATTTTTATATATTTTTAATGAACAAATTATTCACCAAGGTGCAATGCATTATTACGAAAATGATTAACGATAATATAATGGACTCTTTAATGTTAAAGACACATTGTAAATTCAATCCATTATATATAAGACAAACTGAAAATTTAACATGTTAAGTTATAAAAGATCATGTGCACATGTCAATTGATATTTTCAGATGATTTGGCTAAAAAATTTATCAGAATGATAGATTAACTTAATTAAATAACAAATATATAATTAACTCATTTTAAAATATATAAATAAATTAAAAAATTAACATGTTATATAAGCACAAAACAGACCATTAACCTCAATTTATAATTTGCTTCCATATGCCATCCCATGTTCGCTTTACGCTCTCTGGTCAACTATGCTTTGCATTCATATCAGTCTAAGTTAATTGCTTAGTTTAATTATTGTGTAGGTATAGGATTAAGACATTTCATCCCTACTAATATTATTATTTTTATAGTAAACTTAACAAGAACGTAAAGTCATCACAAAATGTATGCAAGGCCTAGCTGTAATTGACAGGTCATTTATTCAAACAATATATTTATAATAATAAATTAATTTTTTTATCCACATTATACCATATACTGGACAAAACATATAAAATTATTTTAGTTTAATGTTCTGTGTCATGTTATGCATATATCAAAATATATCCCATCAACATTAAATAAAAAATTATTTAATTTTATAATTTTTAATCAAAATTTTATATTTGATTAATTATTCTTTATATTTTTTATAATTGTTTTTATTAAAAAACATTATTTATTTATCTCTATTCATAAATTAAAAAATTTATAATGATATACAAAATATCAAAAACAATGAATTTTTAATTAAAAACTTATTTTATAAATTTTTTTTTAAACAATTTTTTTTAAACCTTCAGCATCACCTTAGGCACGTTGTTTTTATGTGCTTGACAACCTTATCGCTCCCGAGGACCTTATCATCCCCTTTGATTTTTCCTTATCTCCAATTTAAAGCCAGAAAATTACAACTCCTAATCCTTTTCTTTTCTTTTCTTTTCTTTTTTTCTGTTTCTTTTTTCTTTTTGGCTCTCCATTAATATTAGTTTAGAAGAGGTAAAGAGTATTAGACAGAATAAAATATTTAACAATAAATCACTGTGTGTGAAATGGGATATATTAAGCTCGTAACGAAGTTGGATAAAAGCTAGCTCAGCTATTGTGACCAATTCTACGGAAAGCTATAGGAGAAAATGATGGCTAGAGATCAGATCAATGTCGAGATTGTTACGAGAGAAGCCATAAAACCATCCTCTACAACCCCAAATCACCTACGAAATTTTAACCTTTGCCTTCTGGATCAGCTTGCTCCTGTGGCTTATGAACCTCTGGTTCTCTTCTACCCCAACTCCCAACGTCAACTTACCGTTGCTCACAAATCCCAGCGGCTAAAGAGATCACTGTCTGCAACCTTAACCCGATTCTACCCACTTGCCGGCAAGATCAAAGATGATGTCTCCATCGAATGCAACGATTATGGAGCTGTTTTTGTTGAAGCACTAGTCAGCTGTCTTCTCTCCAAGTTTCTTGAAAAGCCTGATGCTGAGATGATAAGAAAATTTATTCCTTCTGAGATTGAATCAACAGAAGCGCTCACGGGTAGTCTAGTGCTTGTTCAAGCAAACTTCTTTGCCTGCGGTGGGCTGGCAATTGGAGTTTGCATTTCTCACAAGGTAGCTGATCCGGTTACCTTTAGCACATTCATCAAGGCTTGGGCAGCTGCGGCTTTTCGGTCTGGCGGCGACACCGTGCTTCCATTCTTCAACGCATCATCTGTATTCCCACCGCAAAATCTTTCGCTTACAAAGCCTGCAGCTGTCGAACTGATGCACGATAAATGCGTTACAAAGAGACTTGTCTTTGATGCCTCTAAGATTGCTGCTCTTCAGGCTAAAGCTGTGAGTGAAAGCGTGACATGTCCGACAAGAGTTGAAGCTGTGACAGCCCTGATTTGGAAGTGCGCAATGAACGCATCAAGATCGAATTCAGAGCATTTAAGATTCTCTATTCTCTCACAATCTGTGAATTTACGGCAGAGAATGGTCCCTCCCTTGCCTGAACACACTGTAGGAAACCTCGTGGGTTACTTTGCTTCATGCGCTACAGAGTGTGAGATAGAATTGCAAAGCTTGGTTGGTCAGCTAAGGAAAGGGTTGCAAGATTTTGGTGAGAACTACGTTAAGAAACTTCAAGGAGATGAGGCTTGCATGGCTATCTATGAATCTTTGCAAGTGGCAGGAAGCATGCTTCAAGAAAGTAATGTAGACTTTTATGTGAGCACCAGTTTCTGCAGGTTTCCGTTTTATGGTATTGATTTTGGGTGGGGAAAACCCACCTGGGTGACCATTCCTACTGGGGCGTACAAGAATGTGACTGCAATTATGGACACCAGAGATGGCAAGGGAATTGAGGCTTGGGTGACTTTAACCGAAGACGACATGGCCTTTTTTGAACGTGATCGAGAACTTCTTGCAGCTGCTTCTTTAGATCCAAGTGCCTTACACCTCATCACGCCCGTGTCTTCTCTTTAAATATCTCAAAATAATTAAGGCTTTCTTCATTTTCTCCTTTTCTATGGTGGTTTTCGGTCGGTGAAATTGATTATGTATTACCAGTTGCACTTCTTCTTCTTCTTCTTTTGTACGAGTATGTGTGAAATTATTGGTGTCTTTTGTTGCAACCCGAGCTTTGACCTTTGGTTGAGAGTAGTTTGGAGATTTCCTGTTTCAACTACCAGTCTGTGGTCAAGGAGCATATATTGTTAATGGATTGGAGAAATTTTATATTGTTTAGCAGAGATAAAAATATGAAGAGAAGAAAGAATTTAAAAAAAAATACTAAGCATAGATAAAAATATTCTAATTATTTTTTATGGGTTTTTTTTTTAAAAAAAAATAGTGTAACAGAGATATTGTAAGTATAATTTATTAGTTATTTTTTGGAGTGCTTTAAAAATTTTTCAAAATGTTTTTATAATGCTTTCTAAGTTAATTGATTTTTTTTTTGTCGGATGACGAAAGGTTTCAAAACTTTATTATTATTATTTTTTTATTTAAGTATCGAACCTTTTTTATTTTTTTACAATCAAATTCTTTATTTGCGTCGATCAATTTCCAACTTATACATGAGATACACGTAAAAGCAAAATAACCAAAAAAAATCCAAATCCATATTAAAAAGAAAAGATTTTCTGTATCTCTATCGCAAGCATCACCACCATCAGATCATAGTCATCTCCGGTTGACCAATTACGTGATCTTATGTTAAATAGTTTGGCTTCTTTGTGGCATCCTACCATACTATTCTGAGTATAGAATCGTCAATATGTGCTTTTTCATTTTTTTTAAAGGTAAATTATATTAAACCTCTACATATATAGTGTAATTATGCGGAGTATTGAAAAGTTTAGTGATTTGACAAGCTTTCTTCGGGTAAAATTAATAATAATTAATAAAAAAACTAAAAGAACTGACGAGCTTACTATTTTTACTGTTCACTTACTTTCACTGTAGATAAAGATTCATTTTTATTGTTATACACCTTGGTCGTTGATCCTTCGTATTCTTCGTTCATGGCCATTCGTTTTTTTTTCCTTCTGCTTTGCAAATCCTTTATCCATTGCTCCTGTGTTTTATCTCTATCTTCTTTTTTGCCATAATCTCTTTCGTCATTTTCTATTTTCATTATTTTTTTTATTTCTTTTGAAAGAGCGTTTAATGCTCTGTCGTTGCCATCTTATTTATTCTTTGTTTGTAATTTTCTTTGCCAAATAATTTAATGCTTCTCTTTTTTTTTTTTTTCCTTCCCACCAATAATCTGCCAATGCTTTACACTCTAATTTGGCAGATTATCTAAGGAATCACTCTCTCCCTTTCGCCTGCCCCCTCCATGCAATTAAACCCTGCCATTTGGACACCATTGCATTACCAAAGGGAGAGATTGATTCCTTAGATAATATGCCAATGCTTACACTCTAATATATATATATATATATATATATATATATATAAAAGAAAATCAACACAGAGGAAAGCGAACAAGAGGCAATGCAACGGTGTCCAAATGGCAGAGGGAGAGTTTAATTGCATGAAGGGAGCAGGCCAAAGGGAGAGAGTTTGATTCCTTAGATAATCTGCCAATGCTTACTATAATATTGGATGAGGCTGATAGGTCCAATCGAAGATACGTTTCAACCATTATGTTTCTATGAGCTCATGCATTTTCTACCGACCGTTCAAGCATAATTTAAGGCTGAGTGCCAGCTTAGAGATGTTAAGATGATGCTCATGAGTGGCGGGAGTGAAGAATCTAACACCCATTCCCAGAATGTGACCACTCTGAAGAGTACTAAACGCAAAGATATGAGTTGAGTGAATAGTTTAGTGGCAGATGCATAATTAAATTTTTCTAAATTAATCAATAAGAAAATTACCAAGTGAAATCAACCATTCAACAAAATCAACATTCAACACTGCCAAATTACCAAGAAAAATCAACAATTCAACAAAAATAAAAGCACGAATTCAACAATCTCAAGTAAAATCAATAATTGAACAAAGTAAAAGCAACAAGCCAATAATTCAACACTTCAACATTGACAACTTGACAAGTAAAAAAATTAAAGGAACTCTTAGAAAAAGTCAAACAAAAGACTCACCATATCGTGCAAAGAAAAAAAAACATCAATTCTTTAAAATATAAAAAAATCTTTACAAACAAACATAAACATACAAAGACAATACATTAAAAACTACCTATTTTATTCAATAGGCCAAAACACCATCAATTTATTATATATCTATTATAGTTGCTTCGGTTAAAGTTTTGATAAATCTAAAACGTATATATCAATACTTTGACATTGATTTAGAGGGAAAAAATAACAAATGAAAAGATAATAGTTGAAAAAATTACCGATTTCAAGTTTTTCAATACTTTGTAAATCTTTTAATAAATTTCAAAATCAATCTTGAGCACATATAAAAAATTACACAATGTTAGAAGTTAAAGAACTCTTAAAGGCATCATGAATTCTTCCTTTAGTGCTAAATGTAGATTCTAAAGCAACGAGTAGATATTAAAACCGTCAACACACCATGAGCCATTCATGAAAGGATATGCAATCGAGGAGAATTATTTTTCCATCATTCTAAAATATCAAAAGCATCACAAACAATTTTGACATCTTCCTAAAGATACTTATTCGATCCTAATGTATTTTCTCCATCTCCACTTCCACTTTTGAATTTTTTTAAACCATGACATCCTTTGAAATTTCTTGTTTTTTCTCTCTTTGTCATCTATTACATTACTTTCACTTGATATTTCTATTATTCCACTACTTTGACTTTGATATGTGATAACTTGCAATATGAAGCATACAAGGAAAATATAGATTCCCTCGTATCATTTGTCATTATTTCTCTATTCCATTTCATTATACAATTTATTGAATGAAAATGCAACATAGCTAAGTTTATTTGTTGGATCAAATACAACTACAATATAAATAAATTTTTTTCTTATGCCTCCCCAATACCTATCCAACTTTTCTTTCATTTTACTAGTCATTGACCAAGTATCATGATCGGTACTTTTTTGCCCTTCTCTCAAATCACTTTCAAGCGAACAAATTTCATCAAAATAATTATTAGAAATGACATATGCATAACTCAAAACAAACAAAGTAAGGTGAATTCCCCTAAGTCCAATCTTCAACATTAGGCGGTCCAAATATCTCATCACCATGATTCATGTCAAGTTCATTTCTATATAAAGGATCAATTTGCTCATATCTCCTAGAAACTCTTTCAAACTTTTGAGCTATATTTAACATCCAATAAGTTAAATCCACCTATTTTAAATATCTAGATGTAATAAACTCTTGGAATCAATCTTTTCAATCATTATGCTTTTCTTAATTTTTTTCAATCTAACCAGCGATTGTCTAACATACCTCCACGATCGCTCGAACATGAAGTATCAAAGAATTTGCATTTTGTAACCCATCATAAATAATAAGATGCAAAATATGAGTCATACACTTCACATGAAGGAATTTTTCATCTAAGATACTATGACCTCAAATGTTAAGAACATCTTTCAAGTATCTAATTGTCATATCATTTGAACTTGCATTCTCTACCATAATAGTAAAAAGCTTTTCAATTCCCTAATCAATCAAAATCTTTTCGGTGACATTGCCTAAATCAAAACCGACACATATAATTGATTCTTTAAATAGATATCGGTGTGTTTGTAGTGAGATAAACATTTTGATAATTATTTTTCAATAATTGCTTCAAACTTTAATTTCTCATCTATATAAAGTTATATAAAGTTTATAGCAATCTCTTAAAATGATAATCCATGATGAAATGTTGAACCTATGTTGTGTAATTGATGTAAACCTTCTAAATCCCACATTCTTTGTAAATTTGAATGGAAGTTCATCTATAATAATCATGTAAGTTAAAACATTTCTAATGGTATTTTTATCAAACTTTAATGTGCTAAAAGCGCTTTCTCTCCTTGGAACATTTGAATTTGATTGAAGGTCTAATTGTGTTTGGTTAGGGTCAATATTATAAGGGTGTTTCTTGTGATCATATGAGACTTAAGTGCAATAATGTCATTTCTAGAATAATAAGCAATGAGTATCGTATCATAACCATTTCATCTCCCCTTGATTTTTTTATTTTCATCTTCAAAAACTTGGCGAAATGGTCTTATACAATCGGTACCATTTCTTTTCTCTCCATCCTTGTGTTTGTTTGTGTGTTTCATGGAAAAGAGTTATATTTGCTTGTGAATTGATTGAACTCACAACTTTAGTACCTAAACATCTTTGCAAATTCAATCATACAATGAAATGTCATGCCTAAATATTCTATAATTTTACGAGCTTCAAGTTATTTAAAAGAAAAGACAAAGAAAACAAAATAAAGAAAGAAAGGCAACACAACACTTCTAGTCATTAAAATTTTACTACTTATAATATGACATGAGATTTAAGTTTGAATAGTATTCGAGGATATGACTTATGCTAGAGTATAGAAAAGAAAGAGCACATGAGAAATAATAAACCGACCACTCGATCTCATCTCATTATAAAGAATTAGTACAACACTAGCAAGTGAAAACAAACTAGGGTAAATTAAAAGTTCTACATGAAATTATATGAACATAATTCATAAGAAGACAAGCACAAGCAACTAGTTTCAGAATTAGCTACAAAATGAAACTCTTTTTTTTTCAACTAATTAATAGTTAACACCAATAAATTATCCTAACTTTAGGCAAGACCGACCAATGAAACTTTTTAATTAATTAGGAAGATTTTATTATCTTATTTGTCCCTAGTGAAGAAGATTTTATCGTCTCGTTTTCCATGCATCCTTTTCGAATAATGATTTGCCTTTTTCAATTAGATTGTCTCTTATTGAATGAACATTGATGGAAGACAAAATGTGACACATGTACATTTTCTAAGATAATTGTCGGCATATAGTTTGGTGCGAGCTTATCGAGC